CGAACCCACGAGTTGGGTTCACGAGGAACCCAAGCTCCTGGGTGCGAACCCGCGAGCTAGGTTCCTCGCGAACCCAGGCTCCTGGGTGCAAACCCACGAGCTGGGTTCGCGAGGAACCCAAGCTCCTGGGTGCGAACCAGCAAGCTGGGTTCCTTGTGAACCCAAACTCCTGGGTTCACCTAGAGGTAAAAGGAGAAAAAGAAAAAAAAAGAAAAGGCCGGAGGAAGGAGAGGATGGGGAAGAAAGAAGAGGGTAAATTAGTAATTAAAAGAAAAAATTTTATCATGTCATCAATCTTTGAGGGCAAATTAGTAATTAAAAGTAAAAAATTTAACCATGTCATCAATTTTTGCCACGTGGATTTTTCACGTAATTTAATAAAAAAACAAAATGAGTTTTTCCGTTAATTAACCTGCCACATCAGTCAAAATTTAACGGAAGGACTAAAAAAGAGCCGGATTTGTGAACAGTAATGACCAAATATGAGATTTTTTCGGTACAGGAACCAAAAAAGAGCTTTTTCTTATAGTAGAGGGACCAAAAAAGGTATTTAACCATTGTTTAACCAAAGAAAATAGGAAAGAAGACAAGCAAACTGCGTTGGGGTGGGGGACAGAGTAAGTTTGAGCATGAATCTTGCATTCTGAGGGATAGCTTTTCGCAAAGCAAGAAACCAATGAGATGCATGGTATACACCTATTAAAAAAAGTGCACTAACTTAAATTAATAATTGAATAAGGATGAATATTTTTATATTAAAAGTAATTAATCATCTAATAATTCATATTGGATAAGTTTATAAATCAAAATTCTCTAGATTATTATGATCAAAATCACGAATTTTAACTCATATAATTTTACATTCTTAGAGATAAAAAATGAATCAGCTCATATATGAAATCGGGATTCTATGAACTCGTGCTGGACTCGTCGTGAACTCAAAATCATTTGAAATTAGGTGACCTAGTGAGTTTCCCAAAATTAGACTTTTGCATTTGATTTCAACGGATTGACTTTGAAATTGCCATCCATCCATCCAATTTAAGGTGTTAACTTTTCTTTGCTTGATTTAGAAAATCTCACTGACGATCTATTTCCCAAAGGAGCAAAGAAAGAGGGAGAAAGGAATGAAGCAAAAACAGAAGAAATCTGTAGCAAAATAAAAAAAAATAAAAAGAGTAGATAAAGAGAAAGGGAGCTTGAAAGGAGCAAAAATGGTAGAGAAGAGGGAAAATGAGAACAGAGAAATCAGGGCAGGTGAAGGGATTGAGGGGTGGTCCTTTTAATGGGGCTTATGGTAACAGATTGAACTGGGTATTTATTTTCTTTTTTCATTTTTCTTTATTTGTTTTGGATAAAGGAA